GTCACTGTCCAGCACCCAGCAGTAGTGGTGACGTGTTACTGAGGTCACTGTCCCAGCACCTAGCAGTAGTGATGACGTGTTACTGAGGTCACTGTCCAGCACCTAGCAGTAGTGATGACGTGTTACTGAGGTCACTGTCCCAACACCTAGCAGTAGTGGTGACGTGTTACTGAGGTCACTGTCCCAACACCTAGCAGTAGTGGTGACGTGTTACTGAAGTCGCTGTCCCAGCACCCTAGCAGTAGTGGTGACGTGTTACTGAGGTCACTGTCCCACACAGTAGTGATGACTTACTGAGGTCTTCCCAGCACCTAGCAGTAGTGATGACGTGTTACTAGGTCACTGTCCCAGCACCTAGCAGTAGTGGTGACGTGTTACTGAGGTCACTGTCCCAGCACAGCAGTAGTGACGTCTACTGAGGTCACTGTCAGCACCTAGCAGTAGTGATGACGTGTTACTGAGGTCACTGTCCCAGCACCCTAGCAGTAGTGGTGACGTGTTACTGAGGTCATTGTCCAGCACCTAGCAGTAGTGGTGACGTGTTACTGAGGTCACTGTACAGCACCTAACAGTAGTGGTGACGTGTTACTGAGTCATTGTCCCAGCACCTAGCAGTAGTGGTGACGTGTTACTGAGGTCACTGTCAGCACCTAGCAGTAGTGGTGACGTGTTACTGAGGTCACTGTCCCAGCACCCTAGCAGTAGTGGTGACGTGTTACTGGGGTCACTGTCAGCACCTAGCAGTAGTGATGACGTGTTACTGAGGTCATTGTCCCAGCACCTAGCAGTAGTGATGACGTGTTACTGAGGTCACTGTCAGCACCCAGCAGTAGTGGTGACGTGTTACTGAGGTCACTGTCCCAGCACCTAGCAGTAGTGAGTGACGTGTTACTGAGGTCACTGTCCCAGCACCCAGCAGTAGTGGTGATGTTACTGAGGTACTGTCCCAGCACCCTAGCAGTAGTGATGACGTGTTACTGAGGTCACTGTCCCAGCACCTAGCAGTAGTGGTGACGTGTTACTGAGGTCACTGTCCCAGCACCCAGCAGTAGTGGTGACGTGTTACTGAAGTCACTGTCCCAGCACCTAGCAGTAGTGGTGACGTGTTACTGAAGGTCACTGTCAGCACCTAGCAGTAGTGATGACGTGTTACTGAGGTCACTGTCCCAGCACCCAGCAGTAGTGGTGACGTGTTACTGAGGTCACTGTCCCAGCACCTAGCAGTAGTGATGACGTGTTACTGAGGTCACTGTCCCACATAGTGGATTGAGGTCACTGTCCCAGCACCTAGCAGTAGTGGTGACGTGTTACTGAGGTCACTGTCCCAGCACCTAGCAGTAGTGGTGACGTGTTACTGAGGTCACTGTCCCAGCACCCAGCAGTAGTGATGACGTGTTACTGAGGTCACTGTCAGCACCTAGCAGTAGTGGTGACGTGTTACTGAGGTCACTGTCCCAGCACCTAGCAGTAGTGATGAACTGTTACTGAGGTCACTGTCCAGCACCTGCAGTAGTGGTGACGTGTTACTGAGGTCACTGTCCCAGCACCATAGCAGTAGTGGTGACGTGTTACTGAGGTCACTGTCCCAGCACCTAGCAGTAGTGTTGACGTGTTACTGAGGTCACTGTCCCAGCACCTAGCAGTAGTGGTGACGTGTTACTGAGGTCACTGTCCCAGCACCTAGCAGTGATGACTTGGTGATCTTGTTACAGGGTGACCTGGGGCCTCACTGAAGACCACCAGGCGTGTATGGCCGGTACCTCCGCTTCACCAAGTATCAAGAAGCTCAAAGGATCCGCTCCGTCAAGCTTGCTTCCAGGATGTCAAGGATACCAGGTAGAGACTTTCATAAACGCCAAGTTTCAGGAAGAACCGTGGCCGGACAGATGGCCCAGGACAATTGGCACGACGGACTTTTCACCGACAGACATTTGGCCGAACGGACAATTAGCAGAACGGATATTTAGGCGAAAGAACATATGGCCTTCTTAATTTTATTTTTCTTTCTTCTTTGCAATGTACTTGTTTTTAAAACACAGGATTATAGGCATAACTAATATACAATGTCAGAGTGTTTTTATATTTTGCTATATTATATTTGTTAATTTCTTTCATAATATATATATATATATATATATATATATATATATATATATATATATATATATATATATATATATATATATATATATATATATATATATATATATATATATATATATATATATATATATATATATATATATATATATATATATATTAGGTTAGGTAATGCAAGTCCAGTCTTCGACTTTGTTTGTGTTTGTGAAAACAAATTTGGCCAATTGTCCATTCGGCTAAATGTCCGTCGGTGAAATGTCCGTTCGGCCAAACGTCCGTCGGTCAAGTGACCGGGAGCCAGGTTGAACTAGGGACGCCAAGGATACCAGGTAGGACTTCATATACCCAAGGATACCAGGTAGGACTTCATATACGCCAATGATACAAGGTAGGACTTCATATACGCCAAGGATACCAGGTAGGACTTTATATGTCAAGGATACCAGGTAGAACTTCATATATGTCAAGGATACCAGGTAGGATTTCATATACGCCAAGGATACCAGGTAGGACTTCATATATGTCAAGGATACCAGGTAGGACTTCATGTCAAGGGTACCAGGTAGGACTTCATATACGACAAGGATATCAGGTAGGACTTCATGTCAAAGATGCAAGAATTATCATGAAGGATGTAAGTAGGACCTTGTAGGGTATATAGGATACCTGTAAGACTTCAAGGAGGTGAATATAGAATCCAGAAGATTAGGAATACTATGCAGGATTTCTGAGACACCAAAGATAACCAAATAGGTTCCCAGAGGTTTTTTGTATTTGTAGGATTTATAGTGATGTCCTGCAGAATATTGTTATAGTACATTAACGTGTTTGAACCATTTAGGTGTGTAAGCAGGGAACACAATGCCATTCCACTCATCTGACAACAATTATTAGATGAGAGATAATAAGACGTTCCTGAAAACACAAATTTATAGTTGCTGGTATTGACTGGTACTGTGTCCATAGTGAGGTCATTGTAATAGTTAAGGCGTAATGAGATAAAAGATATTGTTTACTGTAAGGAGGAAGTTATCGTTATCCCGTAGTTTAGTTTCTAATATTATTAGTATTATAGTTGCCGAGTTTAGGACATTATGATACTTGTACGTGTTAGTGTTTTAAAGTGTAACAGTTCATGCATTGGGGAATAGGGTAAAGGGATAAACTTGTTGTCTTAAAGGTTAAACACGAGCTAATAACACCTTCTAGACATAACTAATAACTGCCTCCGCCAAGCACTATCACGCCTGATATTCTACCCAATCAATCAACCGCCAAGCATCTTTATATCTCCTGTCGCTGACTATTTTTCTATAACATCCTTCACCAGTTCAAAATATCCTGCTTCAATATTCTTTAGTCTTTGGCAGACAATGCCTCGGTGAATAGATTTGAGAACGACACTTCCTTCAACAGGTTGGTGGAGGAGACGTACACAGCAGAGGAAGTGACTGAGCTGCTGGACTCCTTGCAGATGTCGTCAAGGCGGAGGTGGAAGAGAACTGATCCACACTACGCACACCAACTCCCCCTTCTAAACTTCGCGCAGGCGCAGAAGTGGCACCAGTCTCAACGTCGACACCTCCGACCTGGAGAACCAGTTTAGTGCTATTTTTCTCAAGTCCACAATGTTACGAACCAACCCGACTTGTTACAGCCCACGAACTATCCGACCCACCGAATTACTGCATTACCGCCACTTTTTCATATAATGGTTGCCCTCGTGTAGAAGTTGTCGCCAACACAACAACTACACCATAAGTTAACGAGCTGCATGACCCAGTGTCAAGGAATAGTCCAACAAAACCGGACAGCTCGCCAACTGCACTGGCTAACCATTACCCGGAACACGATCCGCAAATCGATTAACATCCAGGTTTCCAATTACTGCTGGGTAGACAGAGGCAAATGGCGTAAAGAACTTGTCCATAGTTTCACCCCTGGGCGGATCGAACCGGGTCCGCTCGTTTGCGAGGCGAGCATGCTGACCATTACACCACAGGTGTAATATGTACATGGCCACTGACCACTTTGGATCTAAAGAAAATGACAAGTCTGTGTGGTTAGTAACAAAAATCGAATACTTATACTGTAGGTCAACTAGGTGTGTAGCAAGTTTGACTGACTGACTGATTGACTGACTGTTTGAATGATTAACGCGAAAATACGTGTAATATAATAAACAAGCCGGTAACAGAATCAAACTTTCCCACATACACGCTTGGGAGTAAGATCAGCTGACAAAGGTAAAACTGTACAAAACAGCTGACAAAACATAAAAACCAGTCGACACTACATAACCCCCGCTAATAACACACAAACAAACATGACAAAAATTAAACACAAAACAACTGAGAAAACACAAATACCCACGTTGGCTAACAGCGAAACCTCCCATACAGAGAACTCCTGGAGGAGATTAAGAAGTTCGAGGACCGTCAAGACCAGCAGGGTCGGGCGGACCTGCCTCACCCAAGAAGAGAACGCTGGCGCCCCTGACGGAGTTGAAGGGCCGCTAGTTCTCCTGCAGACACAAATAAAGAGACTTACTCATGAGAACTCGATCTACAGGCCAAACTCCAGGCAGCAGAATCTAGGTGAGTGGTGGTAGTGGTGAGAGGGTGGTAATGGTGGTGGTGACGAGGCAAGTCGGGGATCCCTGTATAGAAATCAATATAACAAGAGATATGTTCTATTTATTCATGTGAAATGTCATATCTGTCGGATATTTATATATTTCAAATTTAATTATTTTAACTGGGAAATGATTCAATCTAACCTAACCAAACCTAATATGGAAAATGAGTAAAAAAATTCAACTTAGCTGAAAAATTGCAGAATCCATTTGGTTGTTGGGTTCGGTTGATTTTGCTGGTTTGTTAAGCTCTATAATCACCACCAGGAGACGGAGGTGACGAAAGGGAAGATGGAAGTGACTCTTAACTTCCAGGCTGCCAGAGACGAACTGAACAGACCAAGAAGACCACTGCCAATAGACCTCCACCGACGAGGTAGCCGAGGTATGGTCAATCATCTTGTACGTTGAGTAGTAACTTTTGTCTTGTTGTCTGTGTGAAGCTCAGTCTGTATGTCTTTGTTTACTCTTTATCCATCTATGTCTGTTAACATCAGTCTGTCTGTCTTTGTCTACTTGTGAATATAGTGTAATATTGGTCATAGATAAAGAACTATTGTGTGTTTGAGTTTCTCGTCACTTTACTTTAAGAGGAAACGGGTTTTAACTTAAAAAATCGGTGTTCTAATCTTATATACATTTAGTCTATTTTAGTTTTTGCTAATTCAACCTCTTATGGAAAACATCTTAAACCAGTTAATGATTATTTTAAACTGAGTATCATAATTTAACTAATATACGAAAACAACCTAAATTACGTCAGCTTAAATTAGAGATACGATAACTTATTTACCTAATAGCCACCCACTAGAGGTGTGGGCATGCCGAGGATGGAGGCCTGTGGCTTGTAGGGCTCTCTTCATTGTTCTTGATAATTTTGGCAAGGGCTATTTTGAATCCCAATACTGTTTTTTATTCCATTTGGGCTGGTAGACCGTTCCATAGGTCTACCAGCTTCTGGGTGAAAGTATTTTCTTATATTCGTTCTGCTTGATAACTTGGTGTGTTTGGAGTTATGTCCTCTCGTGTTGGTGATGCGTGACCACAAAGAAAATGTCCCCTTTCAGGATTTTAAATGTTTCAATGGAATCTGCCCTATTGTGCCTTGTCTGAAGGGTTGTTAGTCCTAAGGCCCACAGTCTACGGATAATCGAGATAACACAGTTCCAGAATTATCTTAGGCGCTCTTTGTTAAACCCTTTTCCCGGTGTTAAGATTTTTCTGGAGGTAGGGTTTCCATGCCTGCACACAGTCATCCAACTGGGACGAAGTTGAGATTTGCTTTCCTCACTTTTTGCACAACCTTAGTGAATGATCTATCACGACGCCAATTTTTTCTCCTTATGGACAGTATCCAGGAAAGTTATTAACAGAATAGTTGTACTTAGGGTTGTTGTATCCTATGTGCTAAGTCTTGCATTTCGTAAAGTTAAAGAGCATTTGCCAGTCTCGAGGCCAATGGAACAGCTCATTCAGGTCTTTTGCATTGTTGTGACATTTTGAATTGGTAATTTCCCAAATATCTTCGTGTCGTCCGCAAACTTGACGCTGTGGTTCAATATTTCCATCTATGTCGTTTATGTAGACAAAAACAAGGGGAGTTCAAGGACAGAACCTTATGGTACTACATTGAGAACCTAAAGTACTTCAAAGGTACGATAACTTAAACTAACGTGACCGATCGCCCAAGCGGCTAACGGGCCGATCAGTGGTGATGATGATAAAAGTAAAAAGTAAATTAAAGGTACGATAACCTAACCTAAAGGTACGACAACGTAAACTACAGAATACCAAAGTTTATGCAAAGTTTACCCTAAAACTTTGAATTCTAACTTGTGTTTACCTTATGTTGGCAGCTGGTGGACGAGGTGGAGAACATGAGGCTCCAGCTGACCACACAGGCGGAGATAAAGAACGCCTCGCAGGACCAGCTGGCGATTGACCCCAACGCCTCCAGGCAAACGCTCCTTCAGGTCAAAGCCCAACCCAGCTGGCAGAGAAGGTGAGGCCACCAGCTGGTAGAGAAAGTGGGTAAGAGGTCACCAGCTGGTTGAGAAAATGGGTTAGGAGGTCACCAGCTGGTTGAGAAGGTGAGTTAGAGGTCACCAGCTGGTTGAGAATGTGAGTTAGAGGTCACCAGCTGGTTGAGAAGGTGAGTTAGAGGTCACCAACATGGAAAATGGGCCAAAAGATTGTAACTCCTAACAGCTGGCTGGGTCAGGGGAGCATCGAATCATCCGAAGATTAACTTCTAGTTATTTTACCTAACATTAACCTGACCTAATCTAACACCAACCAAACCATCCTATCCTAATATGACCTTGTCTAACCTAATAACCCCCCAGGTAATGCTACAAATGTAATCATCAGGTGAAATAAGCGGGCGGGGGAGGATATTTAGGTGATCCATTCTATTTACGTCATCACTAGCATGTTGACTGAGTATGGAGATATACAGTACATCCTGAAATGTATTTCCCTAATCAGACAGATCAACTAGGCTCGGCGTCCACAACAACTGTCACAATCAGTAGGAGACGATTGGTTGCTGGTTATGCCTCCATTTCAGGAAGTTTAAAATTTATTTTGCCCCTTACTTTACGTGTACTGGTATAAATATAAAATATGCAGCAATCTGATATTTTTATAAACGTAAACACAGAAAACCCATGACTGAATTTGATAATATGGCAGCATATCTTTCTTACTAGCCAACAACCATTCAGCTTACACGACTTAGTTCCCGAGGACGGCTAGCGGGTCTCTCATACATCAGCATACTGTGAAAGATTTTGGATGTTAAAGACATTTAGTAGAAATGTTGAAATATGTAGATTATTCCTGTTGGCAACAGAACATAACGGAAGTTTGTTGTTGTTTAACTGTATACTGCATCTGTTCTTCAAGAAGTGAGATCTTGAAGCACACTATACAATCTTTTGTTATTAGACAACAATTAATATTGATTTAGAAATATACACTTTCATATGACGTCAAAAGATAAATTTTGTATATATTTTCTTCTCCTTCCAGGAACTTGAGAAGAAGTTCACAGACGGAGCTTATCAGAACATGAAGAAGATGTTGAACAAGAAAAATGAACAGATTAAGGTCATGAGGAAAAAGTTGGTGGCTTACGAACCTGACAATGGTGAAGTTATCGAGGACTGAGGAAGTGAACAAACTGCAAATGTCTTAATGTTGATGACAATTGATCGATGCCAGAATTTCTCATTTCCAAAACAGGAAAATGACAAAATGAATATGAAACCCCAGAGATGTTTTAGAATTTCTTGTGTTTATATTCTAGCTTCCTTGTACTGTAGGTCGACTGAGACCGACCCATAACCAGATAGAGTATAATTACATTATATTGCAGAAAACTAGTCGTCACTCTAGCTAACATTTAAAGAAGATGTCTTTGAAGCTTGATGCTAAATTATACGTTTTTTGCAAACTCAGGCATGACCTACACTGGTTCTCTGTCTGAATTAAGTATTGTAGCATAAACTAATTTTGTTTTGGCCTCTATGAACATTAAAAGTCAAGAATATGAGAGATTGACAATATTATGCTTTCAATAATCAAAAGGAAAATGTATAGATGTATAGTAGCAAATATTTCTATGTGAATTCAACTGCTACCGCATATCAGTCAGTATATCATGGCGAACGTACCATTACTGTATTCATTATTCTGCTGCATATATGTAAATTAGTCTATGATATTAGAATTAAAAATATTTACTTACTCAAAAAATGTGTATACACTCGCCCTAAACCGATTTTTATTTTACGAGAGTAGACGATTTAACCAAACAAAATCTAACTTAACCAGTACAATATATAATGCCAAAGAAATAACAAAATTGTTTACCATTGTTTGTATACCTGCACTCTTGTAAACACAATCGACTACACTTATATTTGGTACAGTGGTTGGTAAGACTTGCGAGATGTCAAATCTGTGGAAGGTTTATCTAGCATCCTTAGTTGGCTACTATTGCAACGTTCCTTGCTGAGGTCACACTAGAGTATCTACCAGAATAAATCCACCGTAGCATTGATTTTCCAACGAATTCCTCGTTGTCAGCGAACAACTTATTTGCTGTCGAAAGTGGGACGATACGCTACGGTGGGTTGAAATTTGCTATAGATAATCTATTGTATTGATAAAATTTACACCGTTCATATTTTTTCAATACAGTAATGTTAAAATGTACAAAAATACAAAAAAGTGTTTTTCAATTACAAAACAGAGCAAAAATGTTAAAGTAAATGAAATAATAACAATAATAACACATCACGACTGGAATTTCATTTGACTCTAGAGGACTTCTATAGGACGCTACAGTCGCTTCTTTTCGTCTTGGTCTTCTTTAACAGGACCACATCTTACAAAGTGGTTAATGCTGCCATAGAAACATACAATGAAGCCATCCTGCTCTCGAACTGAGCTCGAAATAGCCGCGTGAGCTGGCCAATGTTCCTTTCGCCAGTGTGACCAGTGTGCGGATCGTACCGTTGACTTACTGCCCGTGGATGAAATACTATCGTGGATTTATTGCACGGACCGTAGCCTTAGGGCCATTCCCAGAGTTTTAATATGATGTACACAAACACAGAGTTGCCTACATCTCAAAAAGCACGTTAGCAATTGTACCAGGTGTAAGTGCAAGTAACTGTAAATGATGAACTAAAGTTAACTTGTATGGCAAATTTAATACTATCTATCTATTTAGCTATCAATATCTAATTATTTATCTATCAATATTTTGTTAACTATCTATATATATATATATATATATATATATATATATATATATATATATATATATATATATATATATATATCTATATATCTATATATATATATATATATATATATATATATATATATATATATATATATATATATATATATATATATAATCATGTAGATCCACAATGAAACGTGGATAAGATAAATCATGATAAAATCACACGGAAAAGGGAAACAACGGAGTACCTTAGCTTTCGTCTTCATTCAAGACATCTTCAGAGGCAACTGGATTACATGGACAGAGAGAGGCTTAAATATACAGGGTGACCTTAAAAACATGAGGTCAGGTCATAATGATGTCATCCACTAATCCCCACACCAACACACACTGTGCGTATTTAAATAGAGTTTTATTAGTTATATAAATGATTTGGGATATTGTATACACAGCCGTACAAACTGTAGTTCATTACCTATTGTGCTATATTTTTGGTATCACTTGTTTCTGTTTGCTTTATGTTTGGTACAATAGAAAGAAATATGAAAAGACTTCACTCGAAAGTGAATTTCATCTTTGACTTCGACCTTTTATGATAAATATTTAATATTTTCTAATATCGTCTCTGAAGTGCTAATGCCTTGAAATCATTTGCACTTTGATAGTCCAGATATTCAACATTATTTGAGGTAATAACAGGTCTGCTTACCAATTGTGAACACATTTAGTTTGAATACATGGACAGCTACACGAATATTTTCGAAGAACCAATCAGCTATTTGTAGCTATAGGCTAGGGGCGTGGATTACGGGCCAGATTAGCGTGGAAAGGGTAATAGGTAATGGTAGGTATGGTAGTAGTAAGACTATGGTAGGTATGGTATGTAGTGATGGGTTGTCAGACCACAGCTTACATCTCAGAAACAGTTCAGACTTGACCCGACATTAGGGGGGTCAAGTGTAGGGTAACTCGCGGCTGACCAAGGGTTATAAATCAGCCAGGCTCCCCTCCCATGTCACACATGTAAGAAGGCACCGGCCGACTCTCTCCCAATATACACAATAACCTACACCGCAGAAGAAGTCCAGACCTGACCCTACATTAGCGAGGGCAAGTGTAAGGAGACCCTTCGCCGCCCCCCCGATCAGCTCAACCTGACGGCTCGCCTCCCAATATATAGGACGTGCCAGTCCTCCCTCGGCAGACAGAGAGCCAGAGAGAGACAGAGAGAGAGAGTGTGTCTTGTAAGGAGGAAGGGCCAGCTACTACACCACCAGGCCCGCTCGAGAGTAGGCAGAGAGGACCGGAGGCAGTCGCCTCCGGTCAGGACCGAGACTTCCCTCCGGCGCCCAGCTAAGCAGTCTCCCATAGAGACAACCCAGGACTACCTGCTAGGCCTCCCCTAGGTCACGTGAGTGTTTGTCAGAGCTTTCCATGGGATGAGTTACCTACGTGGGAAGTGTATTCATTTCATGTTCGTGTCCGAGAATCAGAGTGTCTAGTAACGTAATATGATGTCCTAGTAACGTAAATATAATGTCCTAGTAACTTCAATAGAAGGTGTTATTAATGTGTCCATGTCATGTTCGTAATTAATAAAGAGTTGTAACGAAGCGGTGTTTGAGAAGTCGCCCTTAAGACGTAAGATAAGTGTATTGACAGTGTAAATAACTATCACGGCCACGCTACCAAAATCTTCCTCTCTATATACTCTTATACTATCAATATTCTACCTATATGTAATCTTCTTCTTGTGAGATTTGTCTCATTACAGGTAGTAGTAAGACTATTGTAGGTATGGTAGTAGTAAGACTATGGTGGTATGGCAGTAGTAAGACTATGGTAGGTATGGTAGTAGTAAGACTATGGTAGGTATGGTAGTAGTAAAACTATGGTAGGTATGGCGGTAGTAATACTACGGTAGGTATGGTAGTAGTATTCTATGGTAGGTATGGTAGTAGTAAGATTAAGCCAGGGAATTTCAAAGTGTGTTGGTGAATATCGGATGTTACCCTAAGCATTGTCACCGACTTGAACCCGCTGACCCAATACGAGTGGCGGGAGGTTGTGGGCGGTCAGGTTGAACCTCCGCGACATGTTCTCACTGGTGCATCCCATCGACCGTTCCCTGTTACTCAGCAACCTCTTCCAGTGCCTACTGACGTTGTATTGCTGCCTGGCGGTGGGCACCGAGTCCCTCAGCTGTCGCCCTGCCAGGAGCTGGGCCGGGGATGCGTTGAAGTCCTGCAGTGGTGTGTTCAGGTACTGCATCAGGGCCCTCGCGGCCTTGTCCGTGTCTAAGGAGCCCCCTGGACCCGTGTTGCCCCCCAGTAGTCTTTTGGCCGACTTCACTGGGGCCTCGGCCCGGCCGTTGGACTGTGGGTAGTGCGCTGACGACACCTTGGGCGTCACACACCAGTCTTTGAAGAACTTCGACATTTCAGCGCTCATCAAGTTGGTCCCTCCGTCACACGACAGAACCTCAGGAATACCAGACCGTTTAAAAAGCCTCCTGAGGGTGGACACCAGCTTGCCGCTTGTGGCGCCATTCGGTAGGTGCTCCACCTCCAGCCATCCCGTGAGCCTGTCCGTATATGCGAGGTACGTGTGCCTGTCCAGCTGGAAAGATCGGTCGCGACCAGCTCGAATGGGTACTCCCGGCGGTGGTGTGGGTATCAGGGGCTCTGCAGGGGGGAGGGGGGGGGGCCGGTGCGTGCCGCTCGCACACCTGGCACTGACGCCTTTTCTGCTCTACCTCCGCGTCTATGCTGGGCCAGTACACCGACTGCCTGGCCTGCCGTAGCATGGAGTCGCGGCCCTGGTGCCCTGCGTGTAGGTTATTAAGCACTGCGCGTCTCAGGGCTAAGGGTATCACGAGCCATAGGTGTCCATCATGGGCGAACGCGACCAGGCCTCCGTAGCATGACAGATGCTGCCGCATCTTGTAGAAGGGGGGGAGAGCGAGCGGTTCGCCATCCTTGCAGTCCGCCCAATCACCGGCCGACACACGGGCGTGCAGCAGCCTGTATTCATCGTCGTGCCCGGTCTCTTTCTCCACGACGAATGCGTCTTCGCCTCCATGGCACAAGCCATAGTGGCCGCTACTGATGCACGCACGGCCTCGTCGTCCTCCCTGTCGGACTCCTCAGGGTGCCTGGGGAGGGTGACGGCTGTGCAGTTGTCTTTCCCTTGCAGGTACTTGATGCGAAACGAATACATCAGTGTCTTCTCCTTCAGGTTAAGTATCCGTGGGTTGCCGATGTCCTTGAGTTCCTTATTTTTGAAGATCTTCATCAGCGCACGATGGTCAGTGACCAAGGTGAGGTCAGGGCACCTGAGCAGGAACAGGCGGGCCTTCTTCGGGCACCAAGCAATGGCTAGTGGCTCGCCCTCCAGAGTGGAGTAGTTTTTCTTAGCTGGCGTCAGGTAGCGACTGCCGCACAGAGTCAGCTTCCAACCGCCCGTGCAGCATAAGGGCATCTCCTGCGTCACGCACTGGCAGTACTGATGCAATATAACGAAGCTTATCCCCTGTCGGCTGTAGTCGGTGAGCGCCATTGTTGGCCGCAAGACGTCGTAGTACTGCAGCCCCTCCACAGCCAGTTTGCCCTCCTCCACCCTCGTCTCTTCGAAAATCGCCTGCCACTGGCTGTCCCAATAGACTGTCTTGCTGGCGGGCTTCTCCAGTAAGTCGCAAAAGGGCTCTATCAGGGGCGTGACAATAATGAAGGGGGCCACCTGGTTCACGAGGCCGAACCAGGATTGTATGTCGGTGATTGAGGGCTTGGGTGGCATGCGGATTCGGTGATGCTGCTGATGAGGTCCTGGCTCGGCTGGTAATCTTCCCGGTCGAGAAGGTAGCCCACAAATGTCACGCTCCTCCTACAGAAGCGAAACTTGCCAGGCCTGAGAGTGACCCCATCCTTTGCTCATGTCTCAAGGAAATCGTATGTGTGCCAGAACGCGGCGGCGATGCTGCAGTCGTCGAAGCGCCTGGTGAACGCGTCC